ACGACTACGACTCTACTACGAATACTACTGCTACGAATACTACTACTACTACTACGAATACGACTACGACTACGACTACGACTACGACTACTACTACTACTACTACTACTACTACTACTACCATTTCTACTACTACCACCACCACCACCACCACGACCACCACGACCACTACCACTACCACTACCACTACCACTACTACTACTACTACTACTACTACTACTACTACTACTACTACTACTACTACGGGAACGACAGTTTACAATCCTCCAGAAGCCACACTGTATTATCCCCATGGTTCACTATCACGCAGCGTCCACCGACCTCGACGCCAACGGCATGGAGTTGAGGATGAAGACCTGGGGACCACTACCAGGCGAACGGCAGACAGTAGTGAGTGGCGAGCTGCTCGCCCTTCTCCTCGCTGTGCAGGTCTCCCACCAGGACGTGACCTATATGGCGGACTGTGGGGGGGGTCTACTTTAACTTCTTCATTGGCCACCCCACTGCCCCAACGGGACCCGACGCGGACATCTGGCACAAAGTCAGGCAGCATCTAGCACAGCTGAGTGGCGATTTTGTTGTGTTGCTGTTAAGGTCTCACACATTCCGAGGCCGAGTGGTACGCTCTCGCTGGCATACAGCAACGCTGTCGCCGACGAGCTCGCGGGTATTGCGCCAGAGAGCCATCGGATTGATCAGCATCACAAACAATACAGTTGGTAGCTAGTAGATCACATCTTGTGCGCATGCGACTCCTGAGGTTCACCCTTGAGGCCTGAGTGTTCGAGCGAGCCCAGTCATTAGCAGAACGGCAAGCGGGGGGGGGGCTCTGCTGGTAGGAGACATCCTAGGCAAGCAAAAGCCCAACCTGCCAGATCTCCAGCCCCAGCTGTCTGTGCCGCCTTTGCCTCTACCCACACACTTGATGAGCCAGGCCGTACATGTACAGAATGCAGAGGCTTCGCCACTCAAGAGAAGCGAGTACACTGGTATGCCATAGAGCATTCCAAACTCACCAACGTGTTGAAGAGGGGACATGACACTCAAGTTGATGGCATTGCCCTAACCATGAAATCCCCCGTCCTAGTTGGCCCCACCAAGGAGCGGACGCTGGCGGGGAGGGGAACAACCAAGAAATGGGACAAGTTGCAACCACTCTTTTGACGCATTCCGGGCATTCTTCAGGACGTCGCACGCACCTGCGGTACCAGTCCCAGCTGGGCATGCGAGGAGCCCCTCCGCGCCGACCGGCTGGTCGGGTTTGACTGGCACCGCCAGGAGGGGCAGCCCACCACCCTCCCTCCCTTCCCCCCCCCCCCCTCCCTCCTCCGTCTTCTCCCTCCGCGCCCCCCCCCCGCCCTTTCCTGCCGCTCCCCCCTGCCCCCCCCTCCCTGTCCGAGCGTCTCGGCGCACGCCTCGGGTGTGGCCCCAGCCGCGCCACAGGGTGTCGACCAGGGCGGTGAAGAACTCGGGGGCCGACCCGCCTGCGGCCATGAAGGTGGCCTCCCAGAGCGGCAAAGGGCGGGCACGAGGATCGAGAGCCGAGAAGCGAGGACTGAACTCCAGAATTCGATGGCGTATCCCTGCCCGTCAGGTTGAGGCTGGCAGGTTCCAAGACACGAGCTCCCGACCCGCCTCGGCCGCCCAACATACCGCCGCCACCAGGCTCCGAGGGCCCGGGGTGATCTGGAGGAAGAGGCGACGATCGAGGAGCGAACTTCAAGGTTCGAAGATTTTGGACGTCGTCCCCTGACATTGATTCCTGCTGACCCCCGTAACGTAACGGGATCGGGGGGGCATGCTTGTGCGCACGGCAGCCATGCCTGTCCACACCACAATGTGCCCCAGAACACTGCGCCATGCCTGTGGGGAACCGACCCCCCCCCCTCACGCGGTCGATACCATTGCGGGGAGAGCCCCCAGCGGACTTCACGGGTTCACCGATCTTTCTTTTTCGGCCGCATGGGGCGCCCTCGATTTTTGCACTTGGAACGCATCCCAAGATGCGTCAGGGGGTCGGCTTTGGACCCGTCCTGGACGAACCCCCCTCGCGTCGTGAATAATCACCACGGAAGGTTTGTCGTGTTTTCGGGCTCTAAACGGGCCCTTAGCAGGCCCTGGGGTCGTTCAAAAACTACGTTTGATGAAACACAAATCGAGTCGTCTGGGTATGACGACCCCATCCCCCCCGACATTCTGGACAAACGAATTGAAGCCCAACTCGGACTATACGGTGAGGGGCGTCCATCCTCGATGAAGGTGTGTTCGAATAGCCCCCCTGGGCGCATCCTGGAGTTACGATGGGGGTGCGTCGGATCTTCGAATTTCTTGAGTCGGCTCTGGACACCCTCCCTGGCGCACGGGGCGCGCCAGGAGCGGCGCTGGAGGCGCCGCCAGGCCGATCCAAGAAATCCGCGCTGACCTTCGAAAGTGTGTGTGAAGGTAGTTGTGCCTTGTCCGATCTCCCCCAAAGTCGACTCCCACCACCTCCTCCTCCGAGCCTCCTCCTCCGCCTCCCGAACCTCCTCCTCCTCCTCCTCCTCCTCCTCCCAAACCTCCTCGTCCCACTCCACCTCCTTGCTCCTTGCTCCGTGTTCCTCATCCGCCTCCTGCTCCTCCTCCTCCTCCTCCTCCTCCTCCTCGTGGAGCTCCCCACCCAAGCCGACCCCCGCGATGTCGGGGGAGACGCCCGTCTTCTCCGTAATGACGTCAAGCGCGGGCACCTCACCGGGCCCCCGCCGCCCGGGTCGTCCTCCGCGGCCCTCCGTCGTCTAACCCTCCCGCCTGCGTGACGGCACTCAAGACGAGCCCTCTCTCTTGAAGTAGTGCGATCGGGGCTGATTGGAGAGGACACGCGAGAGGACACCAGACCCTGCCGAGGGTCACCATTCCATAGGGATGCAGGAGGCATGGGTCGCGAAAGGTAGGACACACGGGTACCCTTGATTGAGCAGGGCGGACCTACTAATCAGCCCGGGGGGGCCGAGGATACGACAACCATGGCGTCATGCTAAGATTGGCTCAGAATATGCGTTCCAAAATTTCTGGAGTATCTAGCGGCCCTCGTTTCTGGAGTCCGTGCGGAAAACCGGACAACCTATGAGATCTCGGAATGCTTGGAAATATCTGAGCGTATCGTTATCCAGACCTCCTGTTCCTCTGGGAGCAGGAGGGACTCTGGTCACCCTCGCGTACAGGCATATCAAGGTTCGAGGATGGACCCTGCCTCCTCTTCGCCTCTTCGGGGTGGCCTCCCGGGGGCTCCTGGTCGCCACTGCTGGCTACGCCTGGACCTTCGAGCCAGAGCGCGCCCTGGAGCACATCTTGGCGGCGCGCACAAGGGGGTAGGGGGAGGGGGGAAGGCTTCTTGGAAGCAGGGTGCCTCTTAGAAGGCGCCGGCCTGTACATCTTTAGACGAGGCCCGCACCTTCTAAGAAGCAGGGGTGCTTCTAAGAAGGCCCACCCCCTCCCCCCACCCTCCTCTGCGCGTGGCCGAACCTCGGGGGACCGATCTTGCTGGCCCCCGGGCCGTGCCGCCCTCGCGCGTCGCGAGGACACCACCGCGGGAGGCTCTGGCTGACCTCCAGCCTCCCAGCCCCGGGGCCTGCCAGCCAGTGGCGCGCGGCCCTGGGAGATGACCAAACATCAGGGCTGGACCCAAACGGTGCTCTTCGCTCTCGTCCTGTCTTCGTTCTCCCTCGAGTTGTCTTGAATCCGCCTCTGCTGCGAAACGACCTCGAAACGCAAACGGCCCACGAGATCGCCAGAACACCGTGCAGGTCCAGCCCTGCCAGACATCAGGGGAGCGACGCTGGGACAAAATCTCGACTCCCGATCTTTGGGGGGGGATGGTGAGGCTCCGGCGGCAGCATCTTCGGCAGTGGACACACCTCCCTTTAGTAAACCTCCCCTTCGTGAAAACGGTCTGGGACCGAAACCGACGCACCTGGACCCGCAAAAATGACGGCCGCGACGCCCTCTCGCGAGCCGAAAACGGCCAATTCCTTAATCGACGTGTCAGGGTAGGAGGTCTGTCCACCCCCGGCATCTGTGCCACCAAGGTCCACGCGGCAGGCCACCTGGGGCGCCAACCGAGGTCGCAGGAGGCCCTGCGGAGCCCTGCGTGCGCAGACACGCGGCCCCAGGCCCCAGAAAGAAGAACGGGGGGGGGGGAAGACGACGGGAGGTGGAGGAGGAGGGGGAGGAGGAGGAGGGTGAGAAGCCTTTGCCCCTTCGTGCCTCCTCGCCTCCCTACAGGCAGGTCAGTCCAGACCAGGTCAACCCGAGTGCGCGCGGAGGCCGCACGCGTTTTACAGGTGGGGACGGCGTTGGAGAACTGCACAATGGCGCACACGATGTTGCTGGCAAGAAAACTACCGCGAATACATGCGGTCGACGAGTCTGCGGATTCATGTTCGAGAGTGGACATATCGATACGAGCGTGATATCGAAACGAGCAACCACATTTGAACCCCAACCCCACACAGGCCAGCGATCTGCACCAGCGGAGGCTCCCCTTGCGCACGCTCGCAACCTTTCCACCCCTGAACTACTGGTCCGACTCAACGGGCAATAGAGGCGGGGCTCACATGGGGCTGTCTATCCCCTCATCCTGAGGCGGAACGTTAGGGGGGTCTCAGGGGGGGGCATCGACCTGGAGTCGGCGACACATGGGCGATAGTTCGGCGGTAAGCCTCAAGGGGCGAGTCCGGACGGTCCTTGGCGGGGTGTGCGCTACCGGGCTGGTAAGGGCGATCAATGGGCGACTTGGGGTCGGTGCATTCCTCCCTCAGCACTACTCCCCTTGACGTTGCCCCTCACTTCCTCAAACCTGCTCCCCCCCGCTCCCACGAAGAACTCGTCGCACACGATCATCAAGGCTAGGAACATGTAGAACAGCCCACAGAGGTTCAGGACCAGCGGCCTCCCCCGACCAGGAGTCAGGAAGCAGGAGAGCATGAAGAGGCAGGGGGAGGATGGGATAAAACGGAACGAATTCGGGGCAAGTTCGGATCGGGATGAATCAAAGATCTCTGAGATCTGGCGGTTCGGAAAGATCCATCGGGCGCCACTCCTTCTCAGAGCGTTCCGGAACGCTCTGGAGTGAGTTATCCTGATCCTGGACCCAGTTTCAGAAAGGCGGGGAAGAAAGGCGCAGACAGCCTGGATTTGGACGCCCGAAATGGGTACGGAAAGAATGGGTACAATGCCCAACAACAAATGTTGTTCCAAACCAACAGCGGCCGCTGTTGGGCAGGCGGCCTTCTGTCTCGAATGGACACAGGCCGCGGCGGCGCGGACAGCGAGTCCTGTTCAAAGTGAACAGGAACTGCTGTTGGGCATCGTACCCATTCTTTCCGTACCCATGTCGGTCGTCCCGACTGGAGACGCACAGGTCACGAGCCTGGAGGTGGCTGGCCTGGACCGGACGTTGGCAGAACTGGGTTTAATGGGACCTGGTTTAGTGATGTGTGTGTGTACTGGGGGACGCCCCCCCCCCCCGCCCTGTTCCACCAACCGGAAATGCCGTCCCCCGAAAACACACCAGCTACGACAGACCTGGTTGAATGATTCTGGCCACTTTGGGGGCTCTGGGGCCCTACCACTGACCAGGTCCCCTTACCTGGGGCCCCCTGGCGGCGCCTCCGGAGCCGCCCCTGGCGCGCTCCGCGCGCCAAGGAAGGGGGTCCAGCGCCGATCCGAGAAATCCGCGCGGACCTCCGGATTGTTATGCTTATGTCACTTTTGTTCCCCTATTACTGGTTCTGGCCAATTCAGGGGCTCCGGGGCCCTTCCACTAAGCGGGTCCCCTTACCTGGGGTCCTGGCTATACTCGGCTGGAAGTGACTGGACTGGAGGTGGCCCGCGCACTGGCCCCACAGAGTAGGACGGTGCCGGCACGACGGCCTCGGGCCACGGCGCGAGCTCCTCGTCGGGCGCAGGGGCCGAAGGGGCAGGGGAGGCTGCTCCGAAGAAGAGCCAGGTGGCCTACAGTGGGGGCTCGGCCACAAGAAACATCCGCAAGAAACCTAACCCTGAAATCCGCGAGTTGCTCAGTGAGAATCCACATTTGCCGATCGAGAATCGTCGAGATCTTGTTGGGGCCCATCGAAATCCAGGACACCCAGGGCGCCCTGGCAAAATCCACCTGGTTTCTTGGCACGCGCCCCCACTGCACCACGAGCCCTGACGCCCAGGAGGGGGGGGGGACGGCATACAAGAGAGAAGCCAGGATGAAGCAGCCATGCTGTGACGAACGAACAAGACACACCCATACCCATAGGGAGGTCGTTGGGAGGAGGACTGGCTATGGGTATGGGTGCGGGTTGTCGACCCTGGGGAACGCTCCCGTTCGAGCGGGGACCCCCATCCGACAACACGCACCCATAGCCCTCTCCGATCCCCCTATGGGTATGGGTGTGTTGTTGGTTCGTCATGCGGCAGGAGAGCCCAAGATCGAATCGATGAGCCGGATTGGCGATCGGCACGGATCGGATCGGCGGAGATCGGCAGCCGGAGCCCTCTCCGATCGGCGGCGCCATACAATGCGCCCTCGGCGGCCGAGAATCACGCCGTCTCCGATCGGCTGCGCCAGAAGATGCGCCCGCGGCGGCCGAAAATAAAACCACCTCCAAGTGGTTGCGGCCATAAAGTGCTCTCTTTGCGGCCGAGAACAAAACCGTCTCCTATCGGCTGCGCCGCAGGTTGCGCCCTCTGCGGACGAAGATAAAGCCGTCCCCGATCAGTTGCGCAATAAAGTGCGCCCTCGGCCGCCGAAAATAAAATCGTCCCCTCACGGTTGCGCCATAAGTTGCGCCCTCAACCGCCAATCAAAAAACGTCCCCTATCGGTTGCGCGATAAATAGCGCCCCCGACGGCCGAACATACAACCGTTTGCTACCGGTTGCTCCATAGGTAGCAGCCTCTGTAGCCGAGAGTAATACAATCCCCGATTTGTTGCGCCATAAATCGCGCCTTCGGCGGCCGACAAAAAACCGTCGCGTAACGAGTCCGAGCAGTCAGTTCGATCCAGTACAGCGCAGTTCACTACAGCGCAGTTCAGTTCAGTTCACGTCAGTCCAGTCCAGTCCAGTCCGGTCCAATCAGTTTACCTCGCGAGAAACACAGTCGGGCTACGCTCGAAAACTGTCGTACCGACTTCAGCGTTGTTTCCTGACGCTGCAGGAATTTTTTAACCTGACGCTGCCGTTACCGAAACGCCCGATCGTTCAACATCGATAGCTTCTGCGTTGCCAGGGGAGTTCCACGTTGAACACCGGCAGCATAGACGCGGCCCGTCAACACGACGCGAGCCTACCGTACGCCGTTCAATCCATGTCGCCGCGAGCCGATTGCAGCGAAGAGCGGGCTCCTCGGTTTTTTGGAACCCGACGGCGCGCCCCGACAAGCAGAGCCGGTCAGTAAAAAAACGCACCCGAAGACGGAGCCGAACAAAACAGGATTGGTGCGCGCATGTCTAGAGCCGTGCAGCATTTTCTTCGTCGGCTGCGAAGCTGTGGCAATCCGCTCGAACGCGTGGCAATTCGGGGCAACCGAAAGGCGAATGGGCCGGCGTGCAATGAGGGGGGAAAACAAGAGCCGCGCAGTGCACGCCAATATGGGGATCGGGTACATTATCCTCTTTTGATCTGGGTGGCGACACCCGAACCGCACCCCCACCCGCCATCGATTCTAATGCATCGATGCGCGGCGGGAGCGGGGTTCGGATTTCGCCGCGCGTCCCGCGCATTCCGAACCGTACCCCCGCAGACCGTCGAATTAACTGAATCTTTGATCGGAGAAGGTAGGGCTCGGACTTCGCCGTCGACGGCCAAAAACTTCTGGAGGTTCGCGCAGATTTCTTGAATCGGCGCTGTAACCCCCTGGCTCGCGGAACGCGCCAGGGGGCGGCGCCGGAGGCGCCGCCAAGGGTTTATGTGAATACTATGTTACTGTTGCTGCTCCTGTGTTCCCCATCGTGCCCTTTTGACAGCCACGAGAACATTGCCGTGCGTGTCGCCGGGCATGTAAACTATGAACAGAACGAAGGCTGCGGCGACAGAGACGCTGGGACGTCGACGGTTGGGGCCGTTCATCTGCCACAGAGTGGTGGGCGGGCCAGTGAGAGTGAAGAGGTAGATTCTGAGAAGAAGTGTTGTGATGAGCGGCCCCGGGAAGCCCTTAATGGATCACGAGTTTGGCAAAAAGGCCTCCAAGAGAATGCCGACGGCGACGTCGTCGTCTTGCTTGAAGACCGCGAAGCCGTTCACTGTCACGCGGCGCCCGCGCATGTCCTGCACCTTCCGCTCGATCTTGAAATTCTTGCCATTGGTCAGCGACTCGGCTTTGCGAGTGGCGTAATTCCGCTTGCGCTGCATGCCGTGCGTGCCGGGTTGATCAATGGCTTCTTGTGACACGTGCTAAGCTCGATCTTGGAAGAGGTTAGCTTGGATAGGAACGATTTTGCCACACCCAAGCTGGAAAATGTCATCCAAGACCCCCAAAACAACTTCCTGTCCGAACACGGCCCGTAACACTCATTACCAAGACCCATAAGTCGAAACGTGTTGAAATTGCGTGTTGAAACTGCAAACGAGAAAAATCTCCATCTTTGCAATGCGCGCGTCGGCGCCGGCATCATCCCATCCCACAAAAAGGCAACACGATGTCGAGCAGGGTCGAACCGATGGACATTATTCAGCATGTCCTTGATGGAATGGTTGGCAGCAGTGTCCGGGACGAGCGGCTGAGACTCCAGCTTCGTGGCGCGAGTACCCAACTCGCGGCAGAGCTTTTCAAGGGGTTCACAGCTTCGGAAACGCTGACATTGATATCCTTGCTGAACAATTTTTTGACATACTCGAGGTCGGACTTCACGGCAATTCGGCCCATCTTCTCTGGAAACGCAATGATGGCATCAAGAACCTCCATGTTCGGGGACTGCGCAGTGGCGAAGCAGTCCTGGGATCCAGATCCCGGTCGCGAAGAGCCCAAAGTCTCCTTCAGGCGATTGATATTCTCGAGCTTCTCTTTCACGAGACGCCGAAGACCCAAGCTTGGCAGCCGATGCGAAGGCACTGTTAAGGCCCCTCTGCGTAGCGATGGCGGCGCTGTGTTGGAAGAGGTGCACAAATGGATAAGAGAGGGATGGAAAAGTGAGGGAGATATTTGAGCCAACCCGTGAGCCCAAATGGCGATAGCCAAATTTACGATGGGCCTACCACTGCCGAGCCCTGCCCTCGCCAACCATCGAGTTGCCTGAGCCGCTGATCGGAAAGGGTAAGGCTCGGACGTCGCCGCCGGCGGTGTCGAAAAGAAAATGGCTGCATAATCCCACAAGCCTTCTGGGCGTAGGTGGTCAAGGGCGGCGCCTCTTCCAACCCCCTCCTTCCCCTTCGGGGGGGGATTCATCCTTACTTCTTATGATTAAGCACTCCCGCATCCTCACCTAGCCGGCCGATAGCAACCCCGCCGTCCGAACTGCCTCAAAAAACACAAACTCCATTTTGTCTCGCCAACATGTCGTCGAGTTGCAAAACAATAGCAGGAACGTGACGGAATGAACATCGTTCGGGTAACCCTAAGCGGGTGGTCGCGTCCGACCCATCAAAAACAATACAAAGTCAACGCCTGTCCCGTCAACGTGGACTTTCTTCCCGCCGACGCTGCGAAAAGTGTAGCAGGAATGGGACGCGGCGCGCATCGCGCGCGGAGGCCTGGTCAACCCTACGCGGGACCCCCCGTCCTACCTGCCAAAGAACACCGCAACGTCGACGTTTTTCTTGCCAACATGTACTTTCTCCTCGTCGGAGCTGCGAATCGCGTAACGGAAATGGGACGTGGCGCGCATCGTGCGGGGACGCCTGCTCGTCAACATGGACTTTTTTGTCGTCGACGCTGCGGCCCGTCGGGTTGAGGAGCTGGGCGCGGCGTACATCGCGCGCGGTCTTGTTTCTCGTCGACGTTGCTCAATACGCGGCAGGAAAAAGGACGCAGCTCA